AACTTTAGAAACAATATGATTTAGTGCTCTTTTTTCTGGCCCTGCAGAGTTCTATTTCATAGATGATTTCAATTCTATAGTAAAAACGCTATTTAATGGGTTTCCCTGATGGCGCAGTGGTTGAGAGTCCGCCTGCCGATGCAGGGGACACGGGTTCGTGCCTTGGTCTGGGAAGATCCCACATGCCGTGGAGCGACTGGTCCCGTGAGCCATGGCCGCTGGGCCTGCGCGTCCGGAGCCTGTGCTGCGCAACGGGAGAGGCCACAGCGGTGACAGGCCCGCGTATCGCAAAAAAAAAAAACAAAAAAAACCCCAAAACAAAAAAAACGCCATTTAATTTTCTGAACCCCTAACACCTAGACTACAAGTTTGAAGAGGCAGAGACTATGTCTATCTTGTTCCCCTGTGTATCATCCATTCAAGAAATGGTAGGTAATGACAATACCATACTAAACAAGATAGAAAAATCCCCTACCCTCATGGACCTTACATTCTAATTATATCTTCAGTACCAAGGACAGTGGCTGAAAGTTACCCTTGTCTGGTTGAGTGAAATAGCAAATAGATGAAGTTGCCCCTTCTGTAAACAAAATTGATTTGGGGCACTCTTGAACCAAGTAAATGGGGTGTGAACAGTACAGGAAGAATTAGTGCTACACAGCAAAGTTCCTATGTGATCATAGACGTGAGCAAAGACAGTCCTCGTTTCAACCACATTCTTATTTAAACAATTTTATATCTCAATAAAGAGGTATAATCTACATGCCATAAAATCGCCCATCTAAAGTGTCCAATCCAATGTATTTTAGTATATTTACAAAGTTTTGTCACCTTCAACATCCTTACTAATTCGCGGCTCAAAGCAAAGCACTAGTTCAGTTCCCTGAAGATACCAGCCTTTGGGAAAGGAAATGGGTCAGATATTTAAAAAAATTTTGTTCTTTCATGAAGTCCCCTTTGCCCTGCAGAGAGGAAGTATGACAACATCTTTATGCTTTTTATGGTCCCAGAGTATTTCTTTTGAGGAAGGGGAACTTAATACCATAGATATCATATGAACTCAGCAGTTTTTCTTACTAGGTTTCTATTTGAAACTCACTACTCATTAAAATTCTCTGAAGTCTCCAGAGTAATTGTCAATAAAAGCATTTACTTATCAAGTGAAAAATCAAATATTTTATAATACAGTGAAAAGAATACTTGTATAAAAATTATTGTATCTGATTTTACTCTTGGACTTACCATTAACTCACTGGGTAATTTTAGGAAAGGCCCACAAATATTTGGGTCTCAGTTTCTACATTTGTGAGGGAGAGAGAAGGAAATGATAATTAAATTCTCTTCCAGTTCATAGTTTTTATACATTAATTTGCAAGTGGGCCACTCTGCTTAATTATAATTGGGTGATTTTATTATTTTAGAAGGGGACCCCGCCTTCTACATCTACATGATCCTGATTTGCATTATGTGATATGGACAATAATACAGGCTGAAAACAAGCATTTTCAAATGCTGAGTGGGGTGAATGTAAAAGTGAGGAATTCTAAAGAAATCTTAGGACTATATGACCTTGGACCATTGCCTCATTTCTGTGTGGATGAGTGTTTCATATTTTTAAGAATCCGTCCCTTTGGGTCAGGAACAAGATCTGTTTCTATGCTTGGATCTCACATTGTAGTAGATGCTCAGTAAATGCTTGTTGAAGGATGAATATGTTTTAGATAGCAAAAATGCAGGAAAAAATGTTAGTTTAGGTAGAGCGAACTACAAGAGAGTACACGTGATTTTTGTTAGAGAGATTTTAGTGTGAAAACAAATAGTAACTTCCACGAAAATGTGAAGTCTGCCGACCTATCTGCATGTAATAAAAGCTCTGGGTAATGTGGGCCTCATAACAAAGGCAGAAATTCACTGTATAGGATAACAATTACTCTTTTATTGCTTTAAAATGATGCAGATATATACATACACAGACACGTTCATTTTAAATATCTGGAACCAATCTTAAAAATAAAAACCCATAAATTAATAAAATTAGCCATTAAACAAGAAAAATAAGAGGCTCAGAAAAGCACAAACCATGGAATTAAACTGTTTATTCTTTAGCATGGCCCCAAAGCATCCTCCTAGAAGCTCTTGCCTATATTATGAAAGATGTTGTTTCGGGGCTTCCCTGGTGGCGCAGTGGTTGAGAGTCCACCTGCCGATGCAAGGGACACGGGTTTGTGCCCCGGTCCGGTAAGATCCCACATGCTGTGGAGCGGCTGGGCCCGTGAGCCATGGCCGCTGAGCCTGAGCGTCTGGAGCCTGTGCTCCGCAACGGGAGAGGCCACAACAGTGAGAGGCCCGCGTACTGCAAAAAAAAAAAAAAAAAAAGATGTTGTTTCTTTGTCTTCTGTTGGACAAAAGCTGAAGTTACCATTTTCACTCAGTCGAGTCAGCCAATGCATTTTTTGCAGTTTGTAAGGAAGTGAGAATTGGCCTAATTCCTAAAAATGATTGATTCACCTCTTGGTACCTAATGACCGGGCAGGAAATAGGACGGAAGCCTTCATTCTGCCTTGACTCTGGATCTCAGGAGTACAACTCTTTTCATGCACTGTGTGTTTCTTCACACACACACAAGAGCGCTGGGAGTGATTTGCCAAAAGACACTTTCCGATGGGGATTTCACTGGTTTCTCTATGGTAGGCCCTCCCTCCCCCATCATTTTTAAGAAAATAAACGACAGTATAGTAGCTCTTGCATGTGGGTGCTTGACTGAGAGAAATGGCTAATTGCCCTCAATACTGTTCCACTGCCCGCCAAACCCCTCTGTAGGCTACTGACATGTTTGGGAATGAGAAGAGAGAAAAAGGTGAGCAGGTGGTCCCTGCCTGCACATCCTCTTCTTGACACACGATTTACCAGCACAAGAGTTTTCCAGGTGAAACATACATGCAGAGAACGAGAATAGGCCAAAGGCCCTTCATTCTCAGCTGAGTTTGGCCCAGACCACTGCAGAGCTGCACTGCAGGGCGTGGTACCTAGGGGACTCCCTTGCCGGCATAAGGTAGACAGACCCAAGGCACTTCTTTATTTGCCCTAGACCAGTGGTTCCAAACCTAGCTGTTCCTCAAAGAAACCTGAATGCCTTTTAAAAAATATTAATTAATTAGTTAATTTATGGTTGCATTGGGTCTTTGTTGCTGCGCGCAGGCTTTCTCTAGTTGCGGCGAGCGGGGGCTACTCTTCATTGTGGTGCGTGGGCTTCTCACTGCAGTGGCTTCTCTTGTTGCAGAGCATGGGCTCTAGGCGTGCGGGCTTCAGTAGTTGTGGCACGTGGGCTCCAGAGCGCAGGCTCAGTAGTTGTGTTGCACAGGCTTAGTTGCTCCGCAGCATGTGGGATTTTCCCGGACCAGGGCTCAAACCCGTATACCCTGTATTGGCAGGCAGATTCTTAACCACTGCACCACCAGGGAAGTCCAACCTGAATGCCTTTTAAAATGTAAATGCCCAGGTCTTGCCCCCAGGTTACTTAATTAAATTTCTGGAATGAGGCCTGGGAAGTTCTATGTAAAATATCCTTAGGTGATGGTAATGTAGCTCATGATTTAGAAATTATTGTCCTGAGACTTATTCTAGATATAACTTGGCTTTCAAAGGGGATGGGGCAGGGGAGAGAGGACCCTCTTTCCAAGAAATGGGAGATACTATGCCCCTTGGTATATGAAATGGAAATCTGCAAGAATGGTAGACTATCTAGACCTTCTGCCAAGTGGGGGGCTGCCCCATCCTTCCTGTGTTCCGGCCACATGAAAGAAGAGAGAGGAGAAGTCAGAGAGAGAAACACGTCTGGGCCTTGTCTCTGGCAGGAACAGCTCCTGGCCCTGGTTCACCTTGAAAGGCCATTTCCTCCAGGGCTCTGATTGTTAACACAGAGAAAGGGCTACTCTTTGTACTGCACACCAGTTTTAGTTAAGTCTGTTAGCCACGGGGATGGAGGATTCAGGCGTACCAAGTGTTCATTTAGAGTAGTGCTTTCCAACATGGCGTATGGACGTTCTGGTGCAACACCAGGTAATGTCAGGTGATGTCCTAACCTGTACGAGGCAGAGGCAGCCTAAATCAGGAGGCCAAGGCGATGGAAGGAAGAAGAGAAGAGGGGAATAAGGAAACAGGGGGGCTGGGGAGAAATGGCCTACAGGATTTCCTTTCCCTAGACCTTGGTGCCTCTTTCTCATCCCAGTTAGCATGCTGGGAACGATCCATGAACATCATTTGTCCATTTTACCAACCAACAATTGTATAAATTATTTTTTTTTAAATTGAATGACCTGGTTATGAACTCAGCTGTGTCCCTTATGAAACAGAGTTTAGGAAAACCCTTAGAAATACTTTGCAAGTATCTCTTCATAGTGTTCAAAGGGGATGCCGGGTGTGTGCACTGGGTAAGGCAGTTTGCCATTGTTTTGCAGAAACTAACAACTAACTGGATACATTTAGAAAAATACTTTCTGGATATTTCTCCTAATGTCTTCTTTGTGCACAAAAATTTGTTGAACAAAAGTCAAGTATGATTCTCAATGTCTAATTCTATCAGCATAGGCACAGTTAAATGGATATAATCTGCCTTTTCTATGTACAAATATGAGGTGGGATTCAAGACCAAAATAATCTTATTGACACAGAACTTTATCTTAAGCTTAATGATGCTAAATTGAATATTCCTGAGGAACTAGGAACAGTCACTTATTCTCAGGGAGAAATTTTTCTTACATATGAATTCTGTGAGCCAGTCATAGTGACTATATTTTATTTTTCATTAAAATAAATTTAAATGTTAATACTATTCAGTGGGCTTTTATTTGTCTTCATTTATGGGAAATAATGTAAATTTTCCATTTACAGGAGTTATAAGAAGTTTACTTTTTAAACAGTGTTTTCTTTAGATCACATCACTTTTAATTAAATAGATAAATTTAAATAACACATTTAGTAGAGGTGTTTTGTGCTTGCAGGGAAACTCAAGATTTATAGTAAATGAATGACAGCAGTTCAAGAATCACTTCCTCCTGTGGTACCTTCCGGAGGACGAAGGTAAAAATCACCCAGATACAGGGGTTATTGATGAGGTGTTCAGAGCCTCAGCATCAGTGGCGACCACAGAGGAGCTGAGGACTTAAGATCTTATGGGAAAGATAAGGTAAGGCAGACGATACATGGAATCTGCAAACAAATTTTTAGTTTCCAAAATAAACCCGTATAGGACATAAGTAAGTGGCCTTTTCTACCGATATATCACGTTTTGCAATAACGGGTTCTATGCAGTTAATTCCATAAACTATCTCTTGCATCATGCACTCTGCCTATGACAGCGTCCTTCCCCACAGCTGGCACATAGAATCTATGCCAAGAGCACTGTTCCTCACTCTCTCTCTCTATCCTAATGGACTTGGCATTGCAGGCTCCCGACACTGAGGTCCTGTTGCCCAGGAAACACTACCATCCCAGAGGGAAACAGTTATTAAAGAATAAAGACTTATGCAACAAGTCTTTAGGTATCTTTTTATGGCCGCTCCGCACGGCATGCGGGATCTTAGTTCCCCCACCAGGGTTTGAACCTGCGCCCCCTGCAGTAGAAGCCCGGAGTCTTAACCACTGGACCGCCAGGGAAGTCCCAACAAGTCTTTAAGCATCCTTTATTGAAAAGACAGGCTAAGTGGGAATGTATTGCCTCCCATCTCCAATGCCCCACTTTAAGTCATCCCAGCTCTCCCCATAATTCTTCACTGTTAAACCATTTATTGTCAAACCGTCTTCACGTGTGTCTCAGGGGCCATAACAAAATTCTAAGGCCTAGATGGACTTCTCTTTTTCTTTCTCTGTCTCTTTTTAAAAATCCTTCCCAGGGTGATGCAGCACAGTGACAAAATAATAACCTTTTAAGTCTGACAGACCTGGATTTGAGTCCTGACCCATCACTCAATGACCATGTGCCCTTGGGCCAAATATGTGATCTCTGTGAATCTCAGAGTCCCCGTCTGCAAAGGGAAGATAATAGTATCTACCTAACTAGGCTGTTGTGAGGATTAAATAAGATAACATATGGTTGCTTTTATTAATAATATTTTATTAACACAAGGTAGTAGAAAGGTAACTTATCTGCCATCTATTCCATTTTTCATTATTAACCATAATTTTTGTTATGTCTGCCAAATAGCAATAATTCACTTAAAAATCCTCTTAAATATATTTTAAAAATAGCATGCATAAGTTTTATACATATATATGTGTGTGTGTATATATATATATATATATATATATCACATGTAGGAAAAAATACTGTTTATTCAGGTCATTTGGACTTACTTTGCCCAGATAGTTTTATTTTTCTCTGGTCTGAATATTCAAAATTTCAAAAACCTGAGAGCAATTTGCTTTTCAATTTATTACTTAGTTTTTTTTTCTTTCCCCCCTCCTTTCCCTTGCCTCTCTTTCTTTCTGCAAAAAGATTTTCAAGCAGAAAAAAAAAAAAAAAGAGATGCAACTACATTTATGGTTTATCTAACTTGGATGATTTCCATAAATAAATGATTACATGACTATTAAGGGTAGAAAAAAAATAATTCAATATCTCTATAAGATGGTAAATGTCATGTATTTCATCCCAGCGTTTGATGGTTTGTAATCTTCTCATACACAAACAAAAAAAAATGATTAATTAATATCTTACCCCAAACCTTTTCTCAACTTTTTGAGAAATTACTCTGAGATTCTTAATCAACATTTGTACGCTTATATCACCTTGGTAATCACTGGCTTCTCACTAATTTATTCAAGAACTTAACAAGTTTCAAAGACAAAGAAACAGAACACTTTATTATAAAACTTATAAAATAATTAAATATTACACATATATTTTGACTTTTCTCTATAACCCATGTTTATTTATTCAACATTTTTCCTCAGAATTAATATCACTTAGCAAAGCAAGTGAGAACACATAATAGGCTATTAATTAATAAATTAATTCTCCATAAAATAATAAAATGATAATTATATAAAGAAACAACTTGCAGTTTTTCAGAGGGCAAGGGCGTGGTGATGTGGCACGATATATATATATTTTTTATGATAAAATGGCCATTATTCTCGGCCAAGCCAAGGAGATTGAGAGAATATTCTAGTCATCATTTCTCTGAGATCTGAGAATGCATGATTCTAATTAGAATGGAACAAAGGATGCTCTAAATTTAACAAACCGCTGTCTCGTTGGTTGTGCTGAGCTGGCAAATCCCTGTTTGAACTGAGACTTTTTAAAGCAGTAAAATTGGGTTACATTCATCAAAGACTTTGAGGAATAGAGAAGAATTATATAAATATGCCCTTAATAACCACATCTCAAAAAATTACAGGACACAGTCTCATAAGTTACTTTGGTTTTGGCAAAATACTGTGGTATTTTTCCAGTTGAGCGCAATTTTAAGCTCATTAGTGCCTACCAACAGCTGGCTTCTGAACACTGAAACTATGACCTGAAAGATTATAAAACACTCTTATTCTTGGCATATTATGACTTATTAATATTCACATAGCAAGAAGACAGATGGATTTTTCTATTGCTACTGTGACTTTTTTCTTGTTCACTAAATCCTAGGGCAAATTTAAACATGTCAGTTGGTAGGAAAAAAACCACAAGCGGCCTTTAATTTTCCAAGCATCCCTGATAATATGTAGGGAGCATTATAAATGATGTTTTCCTCTCCTTCAAAACAGGGCTGTTTTGCTGTTTAGCTCCTCTTAGATTTTTACCAGAAATGAACATCTCACCAATTGTGATTCCCAAAGAGCAGACTTGAGGCTCCTGAGTACTTGTTCGACTAGCACCAAAAATTATGAGGTTGATGGAGTGTGTAGGGCAACAGTGTTTTGTGGGTTTTGTTTTTTTTCTCCTTTTTTTCAGAGTGTGAATTTCAATTAAGTGGCAATCTTAACTAGTTCACGTTGCCCTGTTTTCAGAATATTCCTTTTCAAGTTGTGAATTTTAGTCTTGGAGACTGTCTATAAGTAGAATATACTTTAAACAAAATAATAAAAAACAACACACACACACACGCACACACACACACACCCCAAATAAACAGGACATGAAGCTTGCCAGTCCAGCAGCAAGCACAGTCACGAGCACCATCTGGCGTTTGTATAACTTCTGGTTTGGGGTGTCCACAGTTGCGTCAAACTGTGAGCTCCAAGGAAGTTAGGCAGTGTGTTCCGTCCACATTTGATTGCTCCAAGTCTCAGTCTTTGACTTGAAGTCTTAAAGGGCCTTTTCACAACTGACGTCTTGGTCACAGAACCCTCTGAGGTTCACGGGGGGGGGGGGCTGTCCCAAAGTTAACAAGAGTCTCACTTTGTCACAATTTGTTCTATCTCATTGTAAGTCATCACTTCTTGCGTGTAACAGTGCAAATCAAAGCTGTTCTCTTTTTGTTTTACGTTTTTGTAAATCAGATTTGTCATCGCTTCCCATTTTCAAGTGCTCCTGAGTACCATGTGCATTGGGGAACTGAAAAAGGAGCCTGTCTGTACTTGAGAGCGGGCCCCTCCAACACTGCGGTCAGCTCACACGTGGTTTGCGGTGTTCAGCTTTCGACGGGAATGTGGCTGGTCTCTCTGGAGGTTGGGAGGTAAGACCCTGGCCCTTCCGGGCTGGAAGGGTGTCAAGATCAGCTCTTCCTTGTGCATGACTTGCAGCATTGTTTGCCATAAAATTTGTGGTTGCAGACACCATGCTGAGAAACAAGATGACACCAGCCGAAGAAATCTACACAGGATGGATCCTCTAAGGTGAGAGAACACATTCAGCACGTTAGGGTAGGTTCTTAGCCTTTTTCTTCAGGTCAGGGCCTAGAGAACAAAGACTTGGGGTCGACTTGCCTTGTTCCCCTGAGTGGTTCTTACATTATACATTAGGACTTTGGTGGGAGGGTGGGGAAAGCAGGATTAAGACACCTAAAGGGACCCATAACCATTAACAAATGTAAACAGGTGGGGGGGGAAAGTGGGTGTTTGAAAGAAGTCATATCCAGCCTGAGATTAATGTCGGATCCTCCCAAATAACCCGGGGGCTACCATTTTGCCTCCAAGGGACGTACGGTAGAACAGCACGTTAGGGATGCCCTGAGGATGTTGTTAAACCAGTAGTTCTGCTTCAGAAGGTCTGGGGTGAAGACTGAGATTTTTTATTTCTAACAAGCACCCCAGGGTTGCTGCTGCTAATCCAGGCATGTTACTTTGGGGAGCAGTGAACCTAATATATTGGGAGTCAGGAAACCTGGATTTAAGGCCCAGCTGTGACATTCTGTGTAGGTTTAAATAAAATCTCATGGCCAATTTGCAAATAAGTGAATTTAAGTCAGCACCAATCTTTTCAAACTTCTTTAGTTCTTTGAGATAACAGACGTGATTATCTACTGGAAGCAGAACATCGGGCATCAAAGGGTTTTACCCAGAAGGGCCTCAGGAGATACAGAAAGCACATGAAGTTGTATGTAAATTTTTCTTTATGTAAACATAAGTGCATGTTTTAGGAGTTAGGGTTCAGTCATTCTACTGGATTCTCAAGGATTTTTGACTTCAGAAATATTTAGGGTCTACCCTGTACTCTCATTCATAGCTGGAATTTCCTTCTCTTTGAAAGCCTTAAGTCACCCTCAACTCACCCAAAACCACACTCTGCCCACAGGCACCCAATCATGTCCCTTCCGAATTCATCCTTCACTGGCTCCCCTGTGTGCCTTTAGACATGTCATGAAAGGTTGCCGCTCTTCTGTTTTTCCTGCTGCTCCCAATTTGTATCCTGTCCTCCTGCGATTCAGAACTGCCTACAGTTCCTTCTTCCCTTCCTTAAGACTCGGTTCCTCTGCCTAAAACTCCCTTTTACACACACACTTCACCCCTGTCTCATAGTAGCTCCAGTGATCCTTTTAACACAGAAATCCACTCATGTCATGTCTCTGCCCCTAACTCTGCCACTGGATCCCATCCACCCAGAGTGAAAGCTATGGTCCTTACAATGACTGACGAGGCCCTAGGACCTGGTTCCCCTAAGACACCTGAGACACTTCCCCTTCATTTCCCTTAAGTCTTTGCTCAGAGGTCACCGATCAGTAAGGCCTTCTCTGACCACCCTATAAAAATAGCAAGCCCCTTGGCCTCCCAGGAAGGACTCCCTATGCCCTCCCTTGCTTTATTTTTCTACACTGGATTTACTGGCATTTATCATATTATGTTTACTATCTGGGTCCTCTCTAGAGTGCAAGATCCTTGAGCAGAGATTTCATTATCTACTTATTTTCACTGCTTTGTTCCCAACATCTAGTGTCTTCCGAGTAGCTACTCTAAAAGTATTTGTTGAAAAAATAAATTCCCTCTACCTCTCATGGCTGAAACAACCAACTGAAACTATACTGTCAACTTGGGTGTAAGGATGAAATGGAGTTGTTATTGTCTTTCCAATAAGTCCTGGGTATATTTTGGAGGTAGAGTCTAAAGGATTTACTGAAAGGTTGGTAAAGGGTATGAGAGAAAAAGAAGAATCAAGAATGACTCTAGGATTTTGACCTGAGCATCTAGAAGAATGGGATCATGTTTACTGAAATGGGGACTTCTATAGGAGTGGAGGTAGGGCACCAGGAGACTGGTTTAGGATGTATTGTTAGAGACAGAAGCTAGACATGAGATGAATACTTTGCCTATGTGTCTATTTATACATCTTCAAGTTCAATTTTTTTTTTTTTTGCGGTACGCAGGCGTCTCACTGTTGTGGACTCTCCCATTGCGGAGCACAGGCTCTGGACGCGCAGGCTCAGCGGCCACGGCTCACGGGCCCAGCTGCTCTGCAGCATATGGGATCTTCCAGGACCGGGGCACGAACCCGCATCCCCTGCATCGGCAGGCGGACTCTCAACCACTGCGCCACCAGGGAAGCCCCTCAATTATTTTTTAATATACACTTGTACAGTGTCTTATACCCCATTAGCATGGACCCTAATCAATCAGAATGTATGCCTGGATCAGTTTCTATTTAGATTGTAGAGATTATCTTCTTGATGCAGTGGAAATACTGCATCACCACTAAAAGCATGGTCCTAACTGCACTGTTTATCATCACCTACCCCTCTCGAGATAAGAATGGAATTTTGACAGGCAGCTGCAGCTTGTGCTATAAGCTAAACGTAAGTCCCGAAGCAGACGTGAGGGGTCTCACTATGCTATCAGTCAAGTGCCGTGTTGGGTTATAGTTATCATGATCATTACTAGTAGCTTGTTATTCGAGCTTCTATTATGAGTCAGGTATTTTATTTACACTATTAAGGACGACCCTAGAGTGAGCTTCACATCTTACATGCAAACAACTGACAAATATTTTTGGCTTCATCTTCAAAATACACTCAGCATCCAGCCACCCCCACATCTGCGACTGCCCCAGTGGAAACTCGTCCCCTCGCTGGACTGTTGGAGCTGCCTTCTGCAGAGCAGACAAGTCCTCGTTCTGTTCTAGGTCCCCTGCCCTCATCTCAGTATAAGTGCCAGTGATCTCCAAGTCAGATCCTCCTGCACCTCTGCTCTAAGTTCTCTGTTGCCTTCCGTCTAACTCAGACTTTTATCTGAGGTCCTTATAATAACTTTCAGGGCCTCCAGGACCACTTTTAGCTCATGGCTTAACCCCCCTTCACTGTATTCATCCTACTCCATGTGTCTTGCTGTCCTGCCTTGATCAGATTTACATATTCCTGCCTCAGGGCCTTTGCATTTGCTGTTCCCTCTGCCAGGAACACTCTCCTTCTAGATGCATACATAGCTCACCTTCCTTTAGGTTGTCTTCAGGTCTCTGTTTAAATATCGCATCATCAAAGTGGCCTTGCCTGACTATTCTATCTAAACTGGTTTTCCCACCACCTCTTCAACCCCAACTATTCTCTTGTCATACACCCTTCTTCAGTTTTATTCTCTGCTACTTTGTCATATAACATTGTACATTAATTGGTTGGTTTGTTGTCTGTTTCCAGGTATGAAGGTGAAACTGCCCATTTTGTTCCCTGCTCTATCTACAGTCAGACATCAGAACAGCTCCTGGTTCCCAGTAAGCACTAAATAGGTAAGTATTAAGAACTGAATTACCTTATTTAACTCTCAGTAACCTTTTACGGTAAGCATTCTTTCTCCATTTTATAAATAGTTCAGAAAGTTTAAAACCTTGTCCATGTCCACACAGTAAGTGGCACAATGTGGACTCAAATCCATTTTTTTCCCCATTATTAATAGATGCATGTTTTATTAAAGGTATAAAGACCAAAGATTTGTAACTTTAATAACCCAGATTCTTATTTTAAATTCACCAACATTATTTATTCATTTTTTTAACTTTTTTTTTCTTTTTAACATCTTTATTGGAGTATAATTGCTTTACAATGGTGTGTTAGTTTCTGCTGTATAACAAAGTGAATCAGCTATACATATACACATATCCCCGTATCTCTTCCCTCTTGCGTCTCCCTCCCTCCCCCCCTCCCTATCCCACCCCTCTAGGTGGTCACAGAGCACCGAGCTGATCTCCCTGTGCTATGAGGCTGTTTCCCACTAGCTGTCTATTTTATATCAACTCCATTTTTATGAATTCAGAGTCCTCGCTCCTTTCCTTGTACAGTGCTGCCCACCCGTCCCCCTCCCGACTTGAAGACGTGAGGACTTCCATGAGGAGTAGCTTGGTAGTATTGTGTGTCTAGTCATCTCCAACTTCATCTCACTAGTCTGCAGTCCAGGCATCTTCCAGACTGTTACCAGTTACAGGGCAGTGTGACCGACAAGTGTCTGGTGGTTACAGCCCAGGGCTTCGCTCTTTTCTGAATAAGGCTTACACATAAAATATGTGTAATACCAAGTCATAGGGTTGGTCCCCAAAGTGGAGACCCAATGAATACATCCAGGTAAAGCATCCCACAGTGATGATGGTATGAGGTGAATGCCCTAGACCGGCTGCCAGCATGGCGGGGGGTGTGAGGGATGTCACACCTGCTTGGCTGTCCTGGAAGACAGGATGGAAGAAACATCTGCTCTGAGGTCCAGTTTGAGTTACTGCAATGCCTCAAAACTTCCACCTGACTGTCAGCTCCTTGAGGGCAAGACTATATGTCTGAAACTCTCACAGTGCCTAGCAGAGCACGCAGCCCCCCCTCAGGGGTCTCAGAGAAGATTCAGAGAACTGAAACCTCTTCCCTGTATCCCCACGGGAATGCTTACTGCCCACTCACAGTTCCTGAAAACTCAGGGCCGAAAATACACTCAAATCACTTCCCCCAGTGGGCATCCAGCCAGCAACATAAGAAGGAAGACTTCTGGGCAGTAGCGTGTGCATGCCACCCTCCTTACCCTCCTTACCTTGGGGATGGCAATGGGAGAACTGAGAGGAAATCTCCAACTTAGTAAGACTATAGCCCACGTTTTTGGCCAGGAAGAAACACCTGGGCTTGTGTCCTTCATATTTGCCTTCTCATTTTACTCCTCTTTCTAAAAGGAGGGGTCAAGAGGCATGGAGAGAAGTCCCTCTTCCAGGAAGCCTTTCCCCACATCCTCCTTTTTCACCTCGCACCATCCCTGCAAACCAGCTAGAGCTCACCGCTGTCACAACGCTAGGGACGTTCCCCCTGTTTTATTTGCGGTGGTGTCTTTCTCCTCTTTTGAGACACTGAGCTCCCTGTGGCTTAAGAACAAGACCTTGCCATGTTCTTTTATCCCTAGAAGAGTGGTAAAGGTGAAACAATAGTATTTAACACACAGTCTTTTATTTATACACTCCTGCATTTGTTCATGTAACACGTGTTGAGCACCTACTGTGTGCCATGTGTGGTGATGGGTGCACAAAATAATAAACATCAATAGCCTCCCCACCGCCTTGCCCCCAGCATGCCTCTTGACTCTCCCTACCTCACAGTCCTGCCTAGGAAACACGTACTCGAGTATTTTCAGGAGTGGCCATTGGCCTTTGGCCTTTCTGAAAGTACTGAGGGGGCATGCCCTTTATTTGTGGCCCTTCCAGACTGAGCCTTTGTATGTGTGGGTTTGTCTGTGGCCAACTGACTAAAGGGTGAAAATGAAAAATCACCGATGGTGAGGAAAGGGGTCGTCAGTCTGGGAGTATATGACCACTTGCTTCTTCCCCTATAAGCTTTCTGCTGAGAAAGGCTGCAGGTTTGTAGAATTCTGGCATTGCCTTAGAGGTGATCTGGCTCTGCTATGTTATTGGTTTTCTTATCTTGTGCAAACCCCAGATAAGAAAGGAGAAAGAGCAGAGGAGAGAAAATTGATGCCTGGAGCTAAGGCTGTAAGAAGGAGATAAACAACATCAATTTAGAGATGGGAAGTGGTATGGACAGTGAAAAAGGAAGTGAGGAACAGGCCTGAACCTGATTCACCACAAATTGGAAAACCTGGGGTAAGAGATTGGACAGTTTTCAAAAAGCTGTGATTGGATAAAGTGAAAACTCAGCAGGTACACGATGGAAAATGATTCTTGGGCACAAGGAAATCTGAATAGGCTGAAGAAATATTTCCTGGTGTTTGTCAGATTACTTTAAAATAAGATGGTCTAGTGAAGAACAGTATGGTTCACTCAGACAAGTGAATTTCCCATTTTTCCATCAGCACTCACTGTACTTCATTTGACCTAACTTGAACCAAAAAAAACCCATTCAAGGTGTAGTGCTAGGATAACGCATATTCACTGCAATTGTAATTTATCTGTCGCCTCAATTAAAATGTAAGTTCCTAGGGCTTCCCTGGTGGCGCAGTGGTTGAGAGTCCGCCTGCCGATGCAGGGGACACGGGTTCGTGCCCCGGTCCGGGAAGATCCCATATGCCGCAGAGCGGCTGGGCCCGTGAGCCATGGCCGCTGAGCCTGCGCGTCCGGAGCCCGTGCTCCGCAACGGGAGAGGCCACAACAGTGAGAGGCCCGCGTACCGCAAAAAAAAAAAAAAGTTCCTAGAGGGCAGTTCTTGTTCACTCTTGCATTCTGGTGGATCAGCATTATCTCTGGCATATGGTGGTTACTTTGTTCAACTTTTTTTTTTCTTTTTTTAAATGTAATTTTTATTTGATATTGGAGTATAGTTGATTTACTATGCTGTGTTAGTTTCAGGTGTACAGCAAAGTGATTCAGTTATACATATATCCATTCTTTTTTAGATTCTTTTCCCATATAGGATATTACAGAATATTGAGTAGAGGTTCCTGTGCTATACAGTATGTCCTTATTGGCTATCTTTTTATATATAGTAGTGTGTATATGTTAATCCCAAACTCCTAATTTATCCCTCCCTCCCCACGTTTCCCCTTTGGTAACCGTAAGTTTGTTTTCGAAGTCTGTGAGACTGTTTCTGTTTCGTAAATAAGTTCATTTGTATCATTTTTTTTTTTTTAGATTCCACATGTAAGTGATATCGTATGATACTTCTCTTCCTCTGTCTGACTTACTTATTATGATGAGCTCTAGATCCATCCAGGTTGCTGCAAATGGCATTATTTCATTCTTTTTTATGGCTCTGGCACATGGTGGTTACTTTTTTCAATTTAAATTTAGTTTAACAAAAGGGCCTTGCAACATTACCATTTCGTCCTTTCAAAGTAAAAATTAATGGCTAAAAAGCCATTAATTGTAGAATTAAATGTTCTTGCATACCCATGCAAACAAGATCATTTTGAGCAGGAACCTTCCTGGATTTGTGCCTTGTACACCTCTCAGGAGTGCTCTTCACATAGACTTTGATGTGAATGGCGCCCCCTACAGTTGTGCAATGCATAAGCTGCGCAATTAAATATGGTAGGCTTTTGAAAAATATTCCAAAGAGCAGTAAAACTGACTGGCACGTGGGGTCCTTTACCTCTCTTTTCAGGAGCTGGACAGAAGTTTGTATTACAGGCTCGTAGCACTGGAGGTTTCTGCCGGAGCAGACAACTTGACGAAGGCCGGCCCTGCTGAACACAATGGACGGATCGGGTCTGGACCCCTCCTCCACAGGTCACCGTGCACTGCAGAAAAGGGAAAAGAGGAAGGAGTCAGGAACAATCGGCATGGTGTCCTGTCTGATGTCAGTGACATCAAATAAAAGGAATCCCCATGCTTCATGACATCGCCAAGATGCCTGTCCATAAAACAGGGATTGTCCAGAGCCAGGCACAATGTGCTCGTGGTACACTGAGTCTCTTCTAACATGTGGGAGCCATGTGATCTGATTAGAAGGCTCTTAAGCAAATGCTATCTATCTCCCCCAAGAGTGTGTGCCTCCCAGTTAAGTGACTCATAAAGAAGAGAGCTTCCAGAAATACAGAAGCTGCTATAAGAATGCAGAAACAAATAGAGACACATCTAGGCAATTCATCACAGTATTTAAAGAATTCCAGGCAATCTCTGCAGATACGATAGTGGAGGGGATAGTTCAAAACTTGGACAGCAAAAGAAATAACTCTCCGAGACAGCTTTGGAATTATGCCCTCTGTGCCCAGCCGAATTCTGAGTTAGCTTGGTGGATATGGTGCTTCCTAGAAGTCAATTATTTCACTGTCCAACTAAAGTTAAAAAAAAAAAAAAAGACTAATAAGGACTGTCAACTTATATTTTTCCAGGCACACATATAAAGATATTTGTGCCTGGAAAACAAGAAAATATTATCAGGGGAAAAGATAGCCCTTTAAATAGATTTTTATATGTATTTTACTTTTTAAAAATTCACTAAATTATCCTCATTATTTTTCTTATTTTATTGTGGACAGGTGCAGACTTCATCTTGGACAAGCATCACTATATGGATTGGCATTTGAGAGGAAAAAATACATTGAGGTAAAAAGAGTATGAGTTTTGGAATTAGCCCCAAATTCAAATATAGCTGTATTAGTGTTATGAAATCATTTAAACCAGAAGTTGGCAAACTTTTTTTGTAAAGAGCAAGACAGTAAATATTTTTATTTGATTTACAATATTGTATTAGTCTCAGGTGTACAACAGAGTGATTCAAAATTTTTATAGATTATATTCCGTTTATAGTTATTATAAAATATTGGTTATATCCCCTGTGCTGTAAAACATGTCATTGTAGCTTATTTATTATATATACAGTAGTTTGTACCTTTTAATGTTTGTACCTTTTAATGGTTTGTTCTCTATATTTTTTACATTCTACATATAAGTGATAACAAACAGTGTTTGTCCTTCTCTATCTGACTTATTTCACTAAGCATAATACCTTCCTGGTCCATTGATGTTGCTGCAAATGGCATTGTTTCCTTTCTTATGGCTGAGTAGTAGTCCATCATATACATGTACCACATCTTCTTTATCCACTCATCTGTTGATAGGTACTTAGTTTGCTTTCATATCTTGGTTATTGTAAATAATGCTGTTATGAAAATTAGGGTGCATGTATCTTTTTGAATTAGTGTTTTCGTTTTCTTTGGATACATACCCAGGAGTTGAACTGCTGGGTCATATGGTAGTTCTATTTTTAGTTTTTTGAGGAATGTCCATACTGTTTTCCACAGTGTGCACCAATTTACATTCCCACCAACAGTGTATAGGGGTTCCCTTTTCTCCACATCCTCGCCAACATTTGTTATTTGTGTTCTTTTTGACGATAGCCATACTAAGAGGTGTGAGATAACATCTCACTGTGTTTTATTTTTGGCTGTGTTGGGTCTTCGTTGCTGTGCGTGTGCGGGCTTCCTGTAGTTGCGGGGCGAGCGGGGGCTACTCTTCAGTGTGGGCTTCTCATCGCGGTGGCTTCTCTTGTCGTGGAGCACGGGCTCTAGGCACGCGGGCTCAGTAGTTGCGGCACGTGGGCTCAAGAGTGCAGGCTCAGTAGTTGTGGTGCATGGGCTCAGCTGCTCTGCAGCATGTGGGATCTTCTCGGACCAGGGCTTGAACCCGTGTCCCCTGCATTAGCAGGCAGATTCTTAACCACTGTGCCACCAGGGAAGCCCCTAACTGTGGTTTTGATTTGCATTTCTCTGACAATCAGTGATGTTGAGCATCTCTTTGGCCATCTGCATGTCCTCTTTGGAAAAGTGTTTATTCAGTTCTTCTGCCCATTTTTGATTGGGTTGTTTTGTTTTTTGATATGGATTTGTGTGAGTTGTTTATATGTTTTGGATATTATCCCCTTATTAGTCACATCATTTGCAAATATTTCCTACCAGTCGGTAGGTTGTCATTTCATTTTGTCTATGGTTTCCTTTGATGTGAAAAGTTTTTAAGTTTAATTAGATCCCATGTGTTTATTTTTGCTTTAGTTTCCTTTGCCTGAGGAGGCAGACCCAAAAACACATTGCTACAATTTATGTAAAAGAATGTTCTGCCTATGTTTTCTTCTAGGAGTTTTATGGTTTCTGGTCTTACATTTAGGTCTTTAATCCATTTTGAGTTTATTTGTGTATATGGTATGAGAAAATGTACTAATTTCATTCTGTTACATGCAGTGGTACAGTTTTCCCAGTACCACTAATTGAAGAGACTATTTTCTCCACTGTGTATTCTTGCCTTCTTCGTTGTAGATTAATTGACCTTAAGTGCATGGGTTTAATTCTGGGCTCTCTATTCGGTCCCATTAATCCATGTGTCTGTTTTTGTGCCAGTATCATACTGTTTAGATTACCATAGTTTTTTAGTATAGTCTGAAGTCAGGGAGCATGATACCTCCAGTTCTGTTCTTCTTTCTCAAGATTGTTTTGGCTATTTAGGGTCTTTTGTGTTTCCAAACAAATTTTAAGATTATTTGTTCCAGTTCTGTGAAAAATGCTACTGGTATTTTGATAGGGATTGCACTGAATATGTAGATTGCCTTGGGCAGTATGATCATTTTAACAATATTAATTAATTCTTCCAATCCACAAACACAGTATATCTTTCCATCTGTTTATGACCTCTTCAATTTCTTTGATCAGTGTCTTAGAGTTTTATGAGTACAGGTCTTTTACTTCCTTGGGTAGGTTTATTCCTAGGTATTTTATTCTTTTTGATGTAATTGTAAATGGGATTGTTTAATTTCTCTGACAGGTTTTTATTAGTGTATGGAAATATAACAGATTTCTGTATATTAATTTTGTATCCTACAGCTTTACCAAATCCATTGATGAGCTGTGGTAGTTTTTTTGGTGGTGTAGCTTTAGGAGTTTCTATGTATAGTATAATGTCATCTACAGACAGTGACAGTGTTACTTCTTCTTTTCCAACGTGGATTCGTTTTATTGCCCTGCCTTGTGCAGAGGCTGCTGACTGCTGCTTGGTGAGGCTGTGCACAAGGTGGCTGGCTGCAGAACCCTGGGGTTAGTGCTGGCTTGCTGGTGAGCAGGGTCAGGGTCCAGGAGATCCCAGGGCTGACGCCCACCGACTGGTGCATTCAGCCAGGTCCTGGGGCTAGTGCCAGCCCAGTGGCAGGCAAAGTCAGGTCCTGGCGTCTGGCTGCATTGTCCAGTGGTCCCAGAGGCTGTGTCTAAATATTGGTGGGTAAAGCCATTTTCTGACACAGCTGCTGTGGGTCTGGCATGTGTCACAGCTTGTGTTGGCCTACTGATGAGTTGGGCTGGATCCCAGGGCAGCTGGCAGCCAAGGTATCTCAGAGCTGGTGTTGGCCTGCTGGTGGGTGGGCTGGGTCCCGCCATGGCTGCAGTTGTCCTGAGGCTGCTGTCCACCCGCTGGTGGGTGAGGCTGGTTCTGAGGCTAGAGCAGGCTCACTGGTAGGCTGGGCTTGGGCCCAGGGAGTCTTAAGGCAGCCTCTTTGCTGGTGGGTGGGGCAGCATCTGCACCCAGTTAAATTGCTTGGCCTGAGGCGTCCCAGTACTGGTGCCTTTAGGCTGGTAGGCAGGGCTGGATCCCTAGGCTAATCAGCTAGAGGGAGGTTACAGAGTGGCGCTTGCCAGCACTAGTGTCCACGTGGTAGAACGAGCTCCCCCAATGCCAGTGTCTGTATCCAGGGTTTGTTCCAGTTGCTTCCTTCTTCTCCAGGAGACTCTCCAAGATCAGCAGGTAGCTCTGACCCAGGCTCCTTTCTAAGCATTGCTTATGCCCTAGGTCTCAGAGCGCGTGAGATTCTGTGTGCACCCTTTAAGAGCGGTGTCTCTGTTTCCCACAGTGCTCCGGAACTCCTAAAAGTAAGCTCCACTGGCCTCCAAGGCCAGACGTCCTGAAGGCTCATCTTCCTGGTGCAGATCCCTCACTCCCTGGGGACAAGCTCTGCAACTGTAGCTATTCTCCCATTTGTGAATCACCCACCTGGGGGTATACTGCGACTCTGCCTCTCCTACCCATCTCACTGTGGCTCCTCCTTTACATCCTTAGTTGTAGAAGATCTTTTGGTAGGTTCTGGTCTTTGTCGTCAATTGTCGTTCTGTAAATAGTTGTTATTTTGGTGTGCCCATGAGAGGGGGTGAACTCCTACTGTGTCATCTGGGGAACTCTCCTCTCACACTAGTACATATTTTAGGCTTTATGGGCTATACGATTTTTGTTGCAGTTACTCAACTTTGCCTTTGTAGCACTAAAGCAGCCGTGAACACTACAAACAAATGAGCATGGCTGTGCGCTAATAAAAGTTTATTCAGGCAGCAGCTGGCGGAGATGATTTGCCCACTGGAAATTATTTGCTGATCCCTGATCTAAATGATTTTACATGAATCAATTTCCAAATCTGTTAAAAGAGTAAAATAACGATAAAAATTTTTTAAAGGAATTCATAGCAATAGGCATAGCACCTAGTAGGAGCCTAGCCAGTTAGAGATATGCAATCATGCTAATTTCCTGATCTTTCCTCCATGTTTGAGTTCCCAGAGCCTCCCCAATACATACCCAAACCTACCTGGCTCCTGTGTTGCATGATGAGGTGGGTAGCACCTCTCAAGCCAGTGGGGTCTCTGAAGAGCTATGGAACTCCCATTGGTTGTAACAACGCACGGACCAAAACACAGCTTTGGATTCCTGAAGGCATATTATTCTCTGAGACTGAGCATCACATACCAATCCTAGCCCAAAGCAGTGTGTCTAAAGTTGCCGCCAAGTCTTTCGAGGAAAAGGGTGTCTCTAACAAACATCTGAGTTTAAAAGCTGGGTGTCTTTGGCTGAATTGCTGAAGTCGCTGAGCTCTACCTGCCTCAAAATAGGGACAATAATACCCACTGATAAGACTGTTTCCAGGACGAAGGGAGGGAATAGAGGATGCGTGTACAGTCCGTAGCATAGAAAGCGTTTGACAAATGTTACCTATTATTCAGAAACATGACATAAAAACGAAGCGAGTCAAGCCTCTGAGAAGCATTTCTAAAATACAGAAGACCCTCGTGATGGTTTGAACATCAGCACGACGTGATGGCCCTGGGGCTAAGGACTTTATTTACTCATTAAAAAAGGCTTCCCTGGTGGCGCAGTGGTTGAGAGTCCGCCTGCCGATGCAGGGGACATGGGTTCGTGCCCCAGTCCGGGAGGATCCCACATGCCGCGGAGCGGCTGGGCCCGTGAGCCATGGATGCTGGGCCTGCGCATCTGGAGCCTGTGCTCCGCAAGGAAAAAAAAAAACCCCAGCTCTGCAAGATATTATCATCTCCATTTTCTAGATGTGAAAATGGAGGCTCACCGATGATGGAATCTGCCCAGGGCCGCATGGGCAGTGGAGCTGGCCCAGGAGCTCAGGTTGTTTGGACAGGTCTGTAACAGCAGCAGTTGTAAACTGCCTCCTTTTGTTGAATGTCTCCTAAGTGTAAACCCACTCAATCTGTGTGCGCTCACCTGTTGCCATGGCGACGAATACCACCCAGCTGCCATACTGTACACTGGACGGGCTGGACACGCCCCTCGGTTGCAGGTTTCTTCCAAGTCCAGGTTTGGTTTCTTAATATTGCGGCACCGTCGCTCAGGGAGGGTTATCAGCTTGCCCTGGAAGGCCTTCTCGCTGCATTTCATTTCCCTCTTCCTTACCCCCAAACCACAGCTAGCGGAACACTAGGGGCCAAGAAAAGAGGCGTCAGTGTGCAGGCTCCACCGTCAAGTCTGCTGAGCAGATGCGTTCTGACCTAAGGATGCACCATCCACTTGTAATCCGAGGGATGGAACTGCAGCAGGTCAACCACACCACACCTGGATCCCGAAAGCACTGCACCCAGTCCCTCGTGCTGTAGAGGCCAGAGAATCGGAGTCACTTTCCCAAGGTCACAGAATTCATCAGTACCGTAGAACAAAATGAGGCCCTGCCCAGCAGGAGATGCCACGTGGAGGGAGTGAGACAAAGTCCGAGAGAAAGACAAGATTGGCAGAGGATGTGATCAGGATCTCTGTGTAGTGACTGGATGTCCAGGAATACCTGAGGCCTCTCTGCAGAGTCAGGGCTCGGTGTGCCAAGGAAGCAGGGCAGGGAGACTGCGGTTAGAGGCAGTGCAGCGGAAGAATCGTCAGATCACAAGTAACTTTCCTTCATTTTTACCCTGCCTCTCTCTTGGCTGAGATACAACCTGCAGCTGTGGTATGGCAGGAAAAACAAAGAAGGATGGAGGCTGATGAAACGTATGAGAAAACCTGTTTTGGTTTTAAACAGTATTATGGAATACTGTACGAAGCCTTGATGAACTGAATAAATCAGTAAGAACTGGCGTCAGTGTAACCATCATAAATAACGAAGGACAGGGATAGGATCAAGATGCTGGAGGACCAGGATATGGAGCTCACCTTCTGCCACAAATACATCAAAAATACACCTGCACGTGGAATGATTCTCACAGAACATCTACTGAACCCTGGCAGGAGACCTCAGACTTTCAAAAGGGTAAGAAAATCTCCACCTAACTGGGTAGGACAAAAGAAAAAAGGAAAAAAAAGAGAGAAAGGAATTGGGACAGGATCTGTGCCCCTGGGAGGAAACTGTGCAAGGGGAAAGCTTTCTGCACCCTGGGAAGTCCCCTCACTGGCAGGGAGATCAACCGGGACAGCGGGGAAGCTTTGGAGCCTTGGAGGAGCACAGCAACCAGTTTGTAGAGGGCAAAGAGGAGAGAGATGTGCATGGAGGGTTGGCATCACTGCCCAGCACCCCCTAGCCTGAGATGCTCCTCTGCTGAGGCAGGCAGGGGCTGGGTGCTGACGCTCGGGATTTGGAGGTCAGACCCAGGGAGAGGACTGGGGTTGGTTGCTTGGAGACACCTGGAGGGGGCTAGGGCATGGTATGCCCCAGCTGAGGGAGGACAGAAAGAAGCCTGGGCCCATTAGAGAGGCAAGGCACTATTGTTGGGGGGGGTGTGTGCTAGGAGGGGGGCAGGACCGCCACAGGAGCTTCTTTCTCTGTGAGGGCACTCTCGGCAGCAAAGTCCTGGAGGGGAAAGTCTGCAACCTAGGTTACTCTACCCAGCAAGATTACCATTTCGAATAGAACGGGAGGGAAAGAATTCCTCAGGCAAGCAAAAACTAAAAGAATACAGCACTAAACCTATCCTAAAAGAAATACTGAAAGGTCTTTTCTAAACAGAAAGGAAGATATAGGAAGGAGGAAATCACAAATGGAAAGTAAATCACTTAAAGAATTCAATATACAGATCAAAAGGAAAAAAAAACCTATCTGTGAAAGCAATGATAAACACAGGAACAGCAAGAGGATAAACATGAAGATGTACAAAAGGACATGAAAATCATAAAATGTGGAGAAAGAGTAAGAAAATGTAGGTTTTTTTTTTTTAGAATGTGTTTGAGCCTATTTGACTATCAGTCTAAAGCAAGCAGATATAGGAAGGGGTGAACATACTTGAGAAACAGGGCAACCACAAATCAAAAACGTATGATAGATTCACAAAAACCAAAAGGAAGAAAACACAAGCATAAAATAAAAGGAAATCATTAAACCACAAAAAGAAAAACAAGAAGACCGGAACAAAGAAGAAACAGAATTAGAAGAAACAGAATTAACTGGAAAACAAGGTTTAAAGTGGCAATAAATACATATGTATCAATAATTACCTTAAATGTCAATGGACTGAATGCTCTAATCAAAAGACACAGAGTGGCAGACTGGATTAAAATACAAGAGACCCACCGTAGGGCAAAGGACACAAATAGATTGAAAATGAGGGGATGGAAGAAGATACTTCGTACAAACAGAAACGACAAGAAAGCGGGAGTCACAATACTTGTATCAGACAAAATAGACTTTTTCTTTATGGCCTCTGTTTTAAAGAAGGACACTATATAATGATAAGAGGATCAATACAAGAGGAGGATTTTACACTCCTTAACATATATGCACCTAATATAGGAGCACCAAAATACATAAAACAAATCCTAACAGACATAAAGTCTCCAACTATTATTGTATTCCTGTCAATCTCTCCCTTTAACACCCCACTCATATCAATGGACGTATCTTCTGGACAGAAAATCAAAGACAACAGAGATCCTAAATGATACAATAGAACAGTTACACTTAATTGATATTTTTGGGACAGTACATCAAAAAAAACCCAAACAAACCAGAATACACATTCTTTTGAAGTACACATGGAACATTCTCTAGGACTGACCACATACTAGGGCACAAAACTAACCTCAACACATTTAAGTGTATAGAAATTATTTTGAGCATCTTCTCTGACCGCAATGGCATGAAACTAGAAATCAACCATAGGAAAAGAAATGAGAAAAAAACCGATTACATGGAGACTAAACCATGTGCTACTAGAAAAACCAATGGGTCAACAAGGAAGTCAAAAAAGAAACTAAAAAATACCTTGAAACAAATGAAATGAAAGCACAACCATACAAAATCTATGGGATGCAGCAAAATCAGTTCTTACAGGGAAGTTCCTAGAAATACATGCCTTCCTCAAAACAACAAGAAAAATCTCAAACAACCTAACCTACTACCTGAAATAATTAGAAAAAGGAGAGTAAATTAGAAAAAGGAGAGTAAACAAACATAAGGCAGCAGAAGGAAGGAAACAATACAGATCAGAGGAAATAAAACAGAGATTAAAAAACAATAGAAAAAAATCAATAAAATCAAGAGCTGGTTCTTTGAAAGGGTAAACAAAATTGACAAACCTCTGACCAGACTCACCACGAAGAAAAAGAGAACCCCAATAAACAAAATAAGAAATGAAAAATGCCTTAAAGACTTAAACATAAAACATGACACTGTAAAACTCCTAGAAGAGAGCACAGGCAAACCATTCTGACATAAATCATACCGGTGTTTTCTTAGGTCAGCTTCCCAAGGCAATAGAAATAAAAACAAAAATAAACAAGTGGGACCTAATCAAACTTACTTACAAGGTTTTTCACAGCAAAGGAAACCATAAAAAAACTGAAAAGACAACGTGTGGAACAGGAG